GGAGTGCTTCCAAGCCCAGGTTGGCTGAGGCTTTGAGTAACCTGGTCTAGTGGAAGGTGTCCCTGCTGCTGGCAGGGGGGTTGGGACTGGATGAGCTTGAAGGTCCCTCTGAACCCAAACCAGTCTGGGATTCTATGAACAACCGTGTTTCCCCGAGTTCTCACTAGTTCCTGACACACTTGGCAAAGGACACACTACTGATGAGTTACTTTTCTCCAGGTAAGGAGCACAGAATCATTGAGTGTTGTGAGCTGGAAGGGACCCACCAGGATGCTGGAGCCCAACTCCTGTCCCTGCACAGGACAATCCCAACATTCACACCATGTCCCTGAGGGCCTTGGCCAAATGCTGCTGGAATCTTGTCAGGCTTGGTGCCATGAGCACCTCCCTGGGGAGCCTGTTCCAGTGCTCCACCACCCTCTGCCTCAAGAACCTTTTCCTCACAGCCAACTAAATCTACTGCTGACCAACCAACTCACTGCCAAGTACATTCAGAGTCTGTTGATTCAAGAACTCCACACATAAGGAATTTCACAAGAGTACAGGGAAGTTTACTCAACCACCAGCCTAGAACAACAACGTGAGCCCCACTGCCCGGCCACGCAGCTCTCAGCAGCACAGCTGCCTGTGGCACTCGGTGCTGGGAGACAACCCCACAACCAACCCTGCTTCTGGCAGCACCTCTCTGAACGGCCAGAAAAAGTGAGGTGCTGGGATTTGCCCACTTCCTGTCAGTAAAATCAACACCTGCTGTAACACTTCCTCTTCCTCATCAACCCCGTTTCATTTTTGCATGCAGAACCTAAAGTGTGACACCAAACCACAGGGAAAAACTGAGGGCTTGTGCAATCCCGGATTAATAAACAAGAACTGAAGCACCTCAGGGCTACACCTAAATTCTGAAAGAGCTCTCTGTGCCCTTCTCTTGGAGAGAGGTGCTTCCAGACCTGCCACTCACCGTGTTACACGAGGTCAGAAGGTTGATGACGTTGTGATCGAACTGTGTCACGTGGTTGGCGATGTACACCCTCACGCTGGCGTCGCGGAGCCGGGGATCGCTTTGCCGCACAAACAAGCCCAGCACCGAACACATCACACGTACAATAAACCTGGGGGGAGGGGAAAGGGGTTTCCTCAAGTCCTGCAGCCTGAACCATCGCTGGTTCACACGCCCAACAGACAGAACAGAGACTGAGGAATTCACAAAGGACACTGGTGCAAAATGGAAACGACGTGAGAGACGCCTGGGACAGGAACTGTTGTGGGGCTGCAGCTGGGGCTGAGAGCTGCCTGCAGAGCTGCAGCTGCAGCATGAAATACAGGGCAGCAAGCCACACAGAGAGTTTCTTAGTAGCATATCCCGCTGATCCAAGGGTTTCAGATCAGTCCTTGAGCCCTCAGGAGGCAACTGCCAACTTTGGATTTGTCAGGAAAGGCACCTTCATGGGTCCTGGGGACAAAGAGCCCCAAAAGCACAGCCCCCCATAAACCTCGGGACAAGACAAGGACCCCAGAGGGGCGAGAGCAGCCCTCCTGCCCCACAGCCGTGTCCACACACCGTGTCCCCACCCCGGGCACCAGCAGGAGCTCTGCGCCCCGGGGAGGGCCGGGCTCACCCACCGTCGCAGCACGCTGTCGGGCAGGGCGCAGCTGACCAGGAAGACGTGGACGCCGATGAAGAGCCGCAGGATGAGCAGGCAGAGCCCCACGGGGGCGTACAGCAGCAAGGCCAGAAGCAGGAACCCATCGGTCGGAAACCTGTCGGGCCAAAGAGCAGCGCAGACGGTCTGAGGGCGGCTGGGGGACACGCCCGGGTCCCCACCAGGGACCACCCTGCGTCCCCCGCTC